ATTAGAATCTTGTTTTCATAGAACAATATTTGCTACATTAGACATGAAATATAATCCACAACGTTGGATTAATCTTTATGCATTAGCACGAGCAGCTCGATTAGGAGATTTTTTTATTGTTGATGGTGGTTTTGAATTTGCTCATGCTCGTCATTCATATTTTTCATCACTTGTTCAAAGAGTTTTTCGTTGTTTTAAACATATTGATCGTTTTCATTCACCAGCTTATATAATAATAAGTGATCTTTCACATAATTTTCAAACATATCATCATCCATTACCACATGAACATTCGACTTATTTTCATTCAACAAGAGATTTATATATTGATTTATTTGATAAAGATCGTTTTATTTATTTAACACCTGATTCACCTAATGAAATGACTCATTTTGATCATAATGCTGTTTATATTCTTGGAGGAATTTATGATGATGAAAATAAAGAACCTTTAACATATCAAAAAGCTGTTAGACAAAATATTCGTCATCAAAAATTACCATTAGAAAAATATTTAACGTAAGTTTTTTTTTTCATCGAAATATAAAAAACTTACGTTAAATATTTCATTTTTCATTTCTTTTTTTAGATTTCATTCAACATCAAGTCGTGCATTAGCTTTTCATGAAGTTTATAATATATTATTAACATTAAAACATACAAATAATAATTGGATAAAAGCATTTCGTTATGTTCCAAAAAGAAAAATTGCTACTCGAATCGAAGAAGAAAAAGAAGAAGAAGAAGATGAAGATGATGATGATGATGATGAAAAACTTGAATTAGTGGCATCTTGTTAAAACAGTACCTTTGATAAATCTAGCCGTATTTGTTTTTGTTATAAAAATAAATTTGTTATCAACCAACACTAATTTTAATTTAACTCTTAGAAGTGCAACTTTATTTTATATTCTTATTGCAAATTTTTAAAAACTATGATCATGAAAATAATCCCAATTTTATAATACATATTTAATCTCTCTTCGATCAACATAATGATACTAAGAAATATTTTAATGATCGACATTTCGAAAAATACCTCTAGTGCTTCAATGCAACCAACACTAGAGCGGAAAGAATATTGATATTTTCTTTTTTACAAAAAAGAATACAAAAATCTTGTTCATTATAGGTTATTTATCTTATGCCTTGATCAAGCTATTTGAAATATTTCGATTGTCATATATCTAATAATTTATAATTATTTAACATAAACTGTATTGATGATTACAGACAGATCATATACGTGCACTAATAACATAAAAACTAAAAAGTTCATTTTTTTTAATACGTTTTTTTTTTCGTTAGAAAATTTCTAATTAATCCAAGGCATTGCTTTTATTTTTCAAAAAAATTTGATATCCAATACTGTCTATACTTGAATTGTTTTATAAACAATCTGTATTTCTATTTAACTTGGATTTTCTAGAAAAATACATAGAAGGTGATCCCTAAGAGTGGAATTGTCAATGATGATCTAATGAATTGTTTGTTCTTTTTTATACTTTAGAGAAGCCAGACTCGCTGCATCTCAATCACAATTAATGCTGACTAATCGCCGTAACTCTTTTCGAAACAATGCACAAGTAAGACAATTTACGTAAAAGTTAAGTTAAAACAATATGAATAATATATTTTACATGATAGTAATAAAAAAGATAACTTACTACATAATTATGGGATTGAAGCCAATTTAAAATTGTCATAGTGATTAAAGATTTTTCTAAACCAAATAAGTCAATGATTGTGTAAGATGAAATGGTGTGGTTAATAGTCAACGAAATAGTTGTTACAAGAAAAATGACAATACTTCATAACATAAGTAATATCATTTTATTATGAATACAATTATCTCGTCTTCTTGTTTGATTTATATTTATGGGGTTGTATTTGCTAATCAACAACTCTCTTGTTAGAACGAATTTTAATAAATATATCAACTATGATTATTATCATTAATAGAGCAAGTCCAAAAGAAGTTATTATCACCTACATTAAAAAAAAACTAATCAATCATATTGCTATCGATCATTAATTTATCAATAAGGTAAAATGATTGCCTCAATTATCAAGTTAATTTTAGAGAATTTATCTTTTGAAAAGATATCTTCTCAAATGTCAATACAATTTCAAATACTTTTATTATTTCTTTTATTTATAATCTCACCTACTAACCTGAATAATTGTCCATTATAAATAATAGAATTTGACATATTCGTCATTGATTCCATTTTCTCTACATATGCTATATGTGGCATTCCAGGTAATAGCATGACAAAAAATGGCGATAACATGTGTCAATTAAGATCAATGTTTACAATAAGAAGAATTACTGCAATTAGTAAAACTTTGTTCGGTATGCACAATGAGTTTGACTTGAATGAAAACATTATTCGAACCCATCGATCAGCTGTTATTATTACAACCAACCATGCTGAATACAATTGAACTACGCATATAAGAAATACACGAAAACGACAGAGTTCATCATAAACAATACAACCATAAAGTCGAATCTATATTTAATTTTCAAAACAAATTAGACATAAGCTAAAAAATATTATCTGAATACAAAATTCAACAAAGTCTACAATAGCTACAAGTAAATATAATGTATCAGAAATGTCTAATAAGATGAATAAACGTCCTGTTGACATGTTTCTTAATGTTGGTCTGAAAAATATCAAGAAATTAAGTGCATTGCCAATGAAAACAAGTAGGAATGTGATTAGATAGCCCCATAAAAAGAATCGAGTAGTAATTGATGATATATGAATCAGCGATAAATATAGATCAAATGGAAAAGTAACTGTTAAAGTCTTAGGTACTGTTGATATCATTTTCTTTCTTATTATTATAAGATAATCGAACAAAGAAATGATTACGTGAAGCTATTTTGTTTTGTTTTAGCACTGCTCAATTCTGGTTCTATTTATTTATTCTATTACTTTTAATTCTATAAGCTAATTTAAATAAAAGTCTGTCATCAACATATGAGCTTATTGAAAAATTTTTCCATAATATAAACGAGAAAGTGCAGTTAGTTTTTTTCTTTCATCTTCTTTCGAAGTCAATCCTCCAGGTTTCATCGGTATAACGTCAACGATTCTCTCAATTACACATGAGTCTATATAATATTCTATATGATAGACTTTGTTAATTAAAAAATTTATTTAATAGAACAAGAACATGATAAATTTCAATATTCAGATAATTCAAATTTCAGCAAATGGTGATATGTTAAATGATGCACACTAAGAAATACTACTGTAAACATCTCGATTCAATATTAATGATTTGTTGCTAAAAAATAATATAAAATTTAGTTTTGCATTGATTTAGATCAAGAAATTTACTTCATCGTGAAATGGATGTTTTTTCGAGTCGGATTATCGAAGAAAATTTATGTTGATATGAAAAGAAAAAGCAACATAGATATTTCTGTTGAAAGATTTTTTTTTAGATTACAATAATCGAGTGGAAAAAATAATTTTCGTATTTGATATGATGGAATGAGAAAAGAACTTTATTATTCTGTATGTCGAACAGTGTTATGATATTTTGAAGATATACTTCAAATCTATATTACTATTTGTTAAGCAGACTTGTTCTTTAGTTATATTATGCATGTGTGTTGGTCTTCTTACAATATCGGAATAAATCATTTCATTTTATTCACAGATTGTCATTATCATTTGACAATAAAATTCGAAAATTCAATTGAAACAAGATCATAAAATAACGATACATTGAAGAGAATTCTTATCTCATCTGAGAATAAAATAATATTTTTTTCTCTTCTGATAATATGTATCATATTGAAAAAAATCCTTTGCTAATTTGAAAAAGTAGATTGTTTAGCATCAGCTCTGTTATATAGAGGATATATTATACTAAACAGAATTAATATCTTATTTGTCTAAGAAGATTAAAGTAAAATAGTACTCAAAAGAACTCGAATGATGAATACAGAGAGAAACCCATCTGAATTTCTTTATCTTATACAGTAAAAATTGTACCAATGCACAGCTCCTAATTATGAACGATGTCTAATTTGAACGAGCAATTTTTACTCGAAATACTTTTCTCTAGTGTGAATATTTTCTTATTTTTAATAATAATAACACAACACAAGCTTAGTTTTCTAGTAAAAAAAGTGAATTCATTCTAATATTAATTCAAAAGTATGAAAACAAGAAAAAATTGAAGAAGTTTTGAACAATCACTCAAAATCTTTTGTTGTAACGGGAAAATATTTGTTATAGATTAATATTAAACATTTAACATAGAATGTTTATCATGAAAGAAACTTTGGCTTTGGAAAAGTCGATCTTCATCATTAATTGTTCTTTAAAGAATTTAATGATGATTGCAATAAAAATGAACTGATAGTTGATTAAAAAAACAATAATAATAAATGTTTCAAGATTAAAAGTGGATAAAGAATAATTTTTATTATATTAAAAACTTTTATATTTCACATTCAAGGGCAAACTACAAGGTTTTGTAATTAAAGATTTTGTAGGCTTTCGTAGAAAAGTTATGTGGAATAAAGTTCAATAAGAACTCCTTAACTAAATGCCATGCATAACTTTTATTAGAAAATTTATAATTAAGAAATAGCAAC